TGGACAATAAGAAGTACAGAGGCAGTGACCTAACACACAACTGTATATTCAAAATGAAAGGTATTTTATGCAGCAGTATACTAGTGACTTCACTGAAGTTTGTGGGGAAGATGTCATTATCTTCTGTGTGTTGTTTCCAAGGCATTGTATAAGTTAAGGGGGAAGGACTGTTAGATAAGTAGGTTAAACTAGCTGTGCAGCAACAGACTCCTTGTGGTCCGAGTTCGCTCTCAGGGGTAGGCATGAAAGGCACATATTTCCCAGATTTACGGTATCTGTCATGGAATCAAGGCTGAATGGTTTGTGATATTCATAGTACCGAGCCAAAGGGTTTACAACTTATAGTTAAAAAGTTGAGCTTCATTGCCTTAACTTTTTCGGTGCCAGAGGACAGTTAAATTAAAAAGTTATAAATCAATTCATGGGGCACTCTTTGCCACTCAAAAGAGTTCAGGCTGTTCTTCCATTCTTGTATTTTGTTTGGTCTTTCTTTTGCTCAGTGCTCATTATATTTATTCAGCAGGCCTTACTGAAGAGATGATACCACATATGAAAGACAAAGATAAAGGCACGTTTTTAAGAAAATATTGGGTCAACTTCTGCTTCTTCTATTGCTCCATTTATCTTAGTTTAATGTTGAAGGGAGATGTAAGGACTTTTGAGTGAACTTTCTAATGAGCTGTTTAAATTTGTCTTCATTTATCTAAGGTGGTTCCTGATGGTATTGCTCCATCTTGTGTAGTACACCCCCCCCCCCCCCCCCCACCCCCCCCCCCCCTCCCCCCCCCAACCACCGCACTTCCATGGGTCTGTACTCCATCTTGTAGTCTCCCCCTTGCTCTGTGTTGATGTGTGTCTCCAACATGTCTCTCTCTGGCAGCTGGTACTAGGACAGTCTTGTCAAATGGCCAAATCATTTCATCTATTATTCCTAAATCAATTACTAATGAACATTCATTGGAATGAATTAAGGAAAGGTGAAGAAAGAAAAGAAAGGTCTGAACAGCCGTTGGTATCCACAGTTATAAAACAAAGAAGACGACACTATACTATACACATATCTGAGAAGAAGCAAGCAGAGAATCATAAAACAGGCAGTGAATTAAGAAACAAATGGATGGAGAACAAGAAGACATCCAAGAGGAACTTGAATACAACTTTTGATAAGACAAGCCAACGTGCTGGATTGGATCCACTCATAATATCAGAAGGATTGCACATGATAGAAAAAATAGAGGAATTGACTGTAAACCCTGCGTGACATATACAGACACAACAGGATGATGATGACAACTGACTTCAGTCTCAGTCTTCTTCTAATTCCTAAATTTTTAATATAATCCTTTTCAACAACAATTCAACTCTTTGAGTCCCAGGGGGTTTAGCAACACAGGCTCAGGGGGTAGTAAATAGAGTCATAAAATCGGTGCATCATGCGTTCATTGGGCTTCTAGGTAGGAACCTATGAACGTATGATGCGTTTCTTGAGACTCAGAGTTAAAACAATAATGACTATTACTATATATGAAAATGGCACAACCAAAATCTACAGATAATAATTCACAAACATGAGTTCATAAACATTAATTCACAAACAAAACTGAAACATTAAAATGTTAACAACATACCTTGAAAAGTTGAACGCCCATTACAGCAAACATGAAATTCAGCAAAAATGTGACAAGTATAATGTTGTAGATGGTTCTCAGAGCCACAATAACACACTGGACAACATGCTGTAGATGGAAGTTTACAATCAATGATAAACAAACAAATGTGCAGTTCCCTGGGGACAAAGGATTAGCACTGAGGGCTGATATTAAAACTGTCTCTGTTGTCAGCATTTATCACTTCTGGGGTGGTGTGGGACAGTGGGGTCAGAAGCCTGAGGAGTTAACTCTTCCCATCATAAGCTGACTTTCACTTAACTCATTACATCCCATGGGCTTGGGCTTCAAAACAATCAATACTTCAGTTTAAGAACTGTGATTATGAGACAACAGTAGTTACCGTAATTGAGATACAAACAGTGAATATAACATCAGTCTGTAGTAGAAAACTGTAAGAACATTATAAGGGCTTTTTCAAAATCATCCTCCAACGGGCTGGTAAAAACAAACTGTTCGCTATAGCAACAACGCTTGTATCATTCTGTAGTCCTTTAGCTTGGTACACATCCACCTGTTCAGTGATTCAGAAATCCTGAACAAATAAACATGGACACTGTTACTGCCTTTCCCACTAGCTATGTGAAATGCTCACAAGTGGAATCATTATCTTGCACGACAACGTGCGGCTCCACACTGTGGCTCATACAAAAGCTTTGTTTGGGTAGTTCAAATGGGAAATTTTTAACCGATCCCTTACAGCTGTGACTTGGCACCACCAGATTATCTCTTCGACGAGATGAAGGTCTAGTTGGCTACGCAGCTCTTTGATACTGCCGAGGAGCATATGGATGGAGTCAACAACTGGCAAAGTAGGTTGATGACACATTTTTGTTGTTGACGGGTTATAACAACTCATGCCATTTTATGACAAGTGCCTGAATTTAGGTGGTGACTTTGTGGAAAAGTCATGCAGTGATATATGTAGCTTCTCTATATATTTAGATGTTATTGTCAAATTTTAAAAACATTTGAGACAGTTGGAAGTTGATTTTAGAATAGCCCTCATATTATCTTTGAACTGACCAGTAAATGCAGGTTGAGTTGCTTGGTACTAGAAGATTTAAGGCTAAATGTATTTTTATCCTGGAGAAAAATCCTCATGCCTCACTGAGGATTGTAGCCGGGTCTTTCACATGAAGCCAGCACTTCTCAGCCACCTGCTCCTCCCTGCTGATTAGACATGACAGGCAAGTAACGGTTGACTCTATAGCAGCTGCGATAGGATGCTCACATGTTTCAGCACACAACTTAATGCACTAAAAACCCGCCGGGGGTGGGGGGGAGGGGTGACATTTTGCTAATGAAGCAAAAGTTGGATGTGAAGTGAAAATGTGGTTTAGAAAACAGAGCACACAGTTCTATGCAGCAGGTTTAGGAGGACTGATAAAATGATGGGACAGGTGCATCAATGTTGGTGAAAACATATTTTTTTAAAAATTATTCATTAATGATCTATTGTTATTCTGAGAAAATAAAACGTAAGTAATAACACTTACAATTTAATAGTATTTAACACACACAAAAAAAAGAGAAAAAAGTACAATGACAAGAGAAACCTGTACATGAACTCTAAGACATCTGTGGCATATTTTAAGACTTTGTTATTATAATCAATAATATCACCCCTGTATGTTTGCTGATGTGCTCATCCATGCTCGTTCCAGTAAATCTCTTGATGTTGTCTACCCATATTAACTTTGTTGTCTTCTTTTATGCTTCCCCTTCTCTTTTTAAAACCAGCAGATATTTAACAAGCAAGTGTCTTTTTTATATCCAAAGTATCTCAATAATCTGTTCTTTATCTCCTTCAGTAATTTTTTATCAATCGCAATTTTTCTTTAAAAAACTTTGCCTCTTTCTTCTCTATCCATTATATTTACATCATGGTGAAAATCAGTTAACTCTCTGAGACCCAAGGAACGCATCAGAGGCCCAATGAACGCAAGATGCGCTGATTTTACATCTCTTCTGACTACCCCTTGGGCCTCTGATGCTAAACCGTCTGGGTCTCAAAGTGTTTAAATAAAGTGAGAAAAAAAACTTTAAAAAAAAAACTTTGCAGGAAAATGTCTGACCATCTCATTATTACAGTTCCCTCCTGTTTAACAGGTTATCTTTTAATGGCAGACTATTGTAATTTTTTTTCAAACTGTAAAAATGAATTAGAATAATCTACCCAATTAATACAGTAGTGGTCAAACATTTAAGATCACCCAGCAAATAGTAGATTTTCCGACACTATTATTGACTACTGCATAAACTGCTATTTTAGAGCAGAAAGGTAACAACAATGATGGCCTTTAGTGGGCCCTAAACTAGCAGTGAATGCAATACTTCATAACAGTATGGAAAAAATTAATTATTTACTTGGTGGTTTTAAACTGTGTACAACTGGTGTACACCTAAGGATAAACATTATTAAATATATATCTCTAAAATGCATAACAGTACAGAACAATCAATTATTTCCTGGGTGGTTTTACACTTTGTGCCACTGATGTACACACTAAGGAAAGAAGATGTTAAATATATAACTCTATAAGATTACCTTCAGTCCTTTTGCCCTGTTGATTGCTCGTAAGGGCCTTAACACTCGAAGCACTCTGAGAATTTTCACTACGGAAATGGCTTGATTACTGAAAAATACATCCACCTAATTGTTAATTTATCTGTATTTTATGCACACACCTTATAAGAGGAGATTGAAATTAAAACTTCTTGCCTATGCAGTAGCAAAGTGAAGCAGAGATCCTTTTTCATGCTTTTTAGGCACATCGGGCATAAGGGAAGAGCACCCATATTTTTACAGACCAATAGGCACTAAGTGTGCAATGTGGTCAACATGACACCGGCCGTCTTTACTTCCTGGTGACCATTTTAGGCTGGGTAGACCAGCAACGTCCCATTCCACGATAAAAATCAATGCAGCCAGCAGTGGGTTTCGATCGTGGTACGTTGGAATTGTGAGGCGGACTTGCAACGCCGAAGCCGTGGACGCCACCTTGTCTATAGAGCATACATTTTTATTCTGAATTCCTTGTGTCAATGTTTAATTTATCTTCCCCCTTTCAATGTTTTCTCATCCACTTAATTTTTCTTTTATTTTCTGTTAACTAAATCTGCTAATTTTTTGTTTCTTTGCTAATGTCATCTTTCTCTGTTATCTCTCTCTGACAAAATTACCTCTCAACTGATCCCTTATGACACTTTTCCATATTTTATTCCCTCTAACTTTACTAATGACAGACTGAACTAGTCTCAGATTTCGTTAAAAATTTATGACAAACCATACTAACTGTCAGTTTCAACTAAAAATCTAAAAACTAAACTGACTATAAATTTTAGCCATAAATTTAAGACAAATAGTACTAAAATCTCAAAATTACCTACAAATCTATGAGAGACTGCATGTAACAATTTAACCACAAATAATCAAACATTAATTTTATTTTTATCTGTGGTATTCTTTGCACGTTTATCAGAAATATTGCCACAATCATCAAATCTTTATTAGTGTGTCTGTTATTTGTCAATATGGCAAAATATAGCATTACAGCAAACAAATTCACTCGTAAGAGATTTTTTATTTCAATGAATATGTATATTTTCAAACATTTTCATTTTTCATCTTTGTTTCCTGACTCCGACTTGAGTAGAAAATGAGCTGTTGTGTTTCATTTAATTCTAAAAGCACCAAAAGACAGTGGCGTAGCTACTAGCAAAGCTAAGTGTACTCAGGCAACCCATGAAGTATGGACTAGACAAAATGGAACATTAACTCTTTTATGTAAGTCCACTTAAAGACAGTTAAATTCTAAAATGGCAAACTAAAATAAATGGTCTGTTGAAGTAAAATATGCTAGATGCAGGCTTCTTGACAAACAGTACAACACAATCTAACATGACGATAACAAAACATTTTTCTTATTAACAAGGAAAATATACTTACTCCAGAGGAAAGGAAATCAGAGAGACAGCAACAACCATGAAGTCTAGCATGTTGAACATACTTCGACAGAATGATCCTTTGTGCAACATCAAACCATAAGTGATGATCTAAATGGAATCACAATTAGACATTATCACATCATTATAGAAAGCAAGACAGTAATATTTCTTTTTGTTTTGTGACATAGCTTTTTTTTCTTGGATACCTTTTATTTCCTGAGTTTTCTCTTCCAGCCTTTCAAATAGCATTCATCATTGTCTCAATCTGTTTCTAAGCTAACTTTTTTTTTGGGGGGGGGGGGGGGGGGGAAGGGGGGGGGGTGATAAATATTTGCCAGGGATTGTCTATGTCATATGGACAAGTTAAGTAGCAAATATTTTATTAAAAACACCTAAAGGATTAGGGAGAGTATAGTCTAATTATTTATATGTAAAATCCAAACAGGCAACACTGAGATATGAACCACGTCTGCTTGAGTCATGGGTGCAGTCATAACCTTTAATCCTTTCACACCCAAAAGCTATAAACCTACCTCTTCCATTGGGTCAATTTTCCAATAAATGCTGCTTAACCTGTATTTTTACAGTCAAGTGTTTATAAGATCTATTCAGAATATGAATGTACATGTTAAAAATAACATCTGTAGAGGTTTTATTGTCAATTAAATGTCTTTTTTAAAAGCAGTAATGACACCAACATTTTCAACAATAATTCAACGATAGAGGTCAGCTTATGTCACCCAACTGATATTTCTCCCCCCCCCCCCTTCCCCCCAAAAAAAAATCCCTTTGCGGCAAGGAAGGTATTCCATTTAATGCTTCAGTCTTTTCATGTTTATTGATCACTCCATAACATGGGGGGGGGGGGGGGATTCCTACAGGTGCAAGACCTTTTTTGTTTTTGTTGGTTGTTTAACTGTACCCAGGGCAAAAGGATTCCTCTACCCCAACCTAGAGATCATCATCATCATGTAGAAGGCTCTTTGTAGAGCACTGCTCTCACCTCAGCCCTCTGGCAAGCAACTCTGCCTCCTTTTAACTGTTCAATTAACTTTCATGCCCAGGATGTTCTTGATATCCTTTGTCTACTGTAGTACTTGTCGACCCTTGTATCTGCTTACTTTAGTGTTCTCTCCAAACCATTCTGGTGTTTCAGATGCCCAAAGTATTTCAATTTACAGGGGTGTTGGGAAATAAACAGGCAGACAGATTGGCTCGTTCTGCATCAATGAGTGGAGAATTCCCTTAGGGAACAAGTGAATAATCTGGAGGCACAAATAGATCATTATGGCCTGGAGTGATAAGGGGATTCGGTCAACAATCTACACTGACACCATCAGAATTGGAACTCTTTACTGGTGCTAAAGATAAGGATAGAGCATTTATGGTAGTGTCCTAAGAGCTGTGGTGTCAGTTCCCAAGTCAAACTCAAATCGCTCAATACACAATTTACAAGAAACTATACTGTTCATAAGCCAGTTCCCCTCGATATTCATATACACTTTCTCTTCGACTTATGACCGTCTGCATTTGGGATCCAAAAAGAAAAAAAAAGTTCACAGAACTGGTGCAACAGAGTATATATCATGTTTTTTTCACATAAAGTACAAGAATTATAAGTACATCGATTGCATTTTTATGTTTTATGTAAAATTTTCCTATCTTGTTTAAATAAAAATAGTGTTTGAAAAACATTTCATTTATGACCAGTGTGACTTAGGATCTTAGTTTGAGTCAAGGAGACCCTGCAGTTAAAAATGTCAGCTTTCAGTCGTTAACTTACTAAGACTTCCTGTCCTTTTTAAGATATAACTTTTCGTTATTTAAAGCCCTACTCTGGCTCTTGCCAGGGGCTGCAATATAGCCTGGTCATAAATATGGTCTAAAGGCTGAACGCGGTTTCTGGGACCTCTCCACGGTGATCCTCACCCACATGGTGGCACACTGTGTCATCGGGTGCTTATCACTGGTGTTATGTCCTGGTGGGGTAGAAAGTCAGTCAGCTTTCAGGCACCTAGACAAATAAAAGCCACTCATTTTGAACACTCAACAGTTAAGAATGCATAGCTTTCATGCAGGAGACCTGGGTTTGGATCCTCTGGAAGGTTGGGGATTTTATTCAGTCACGAGCAAAAAATACAAAATATAATCCTAACCTGCACAGTGAATGGTCACAGCCCTAGCCAAGCATCATTTCAGAAGTCTCAGGTAGTAGGATTTTATCTCCAGGTTATGTTGGTCTGTTTGGAAATCAACAGGCAGACAGACTGGCCAGTTCTGCACCACTTGGTGGTGAAGTGATGTATGACAAACTAGATGTAGGGAGGGCCCTTTGGGAGCCAGTTAACAGTGCAGAGGTACAAATAGATCATTATGGTCTGAGAAAAATGGCGCTGTGAGGATTTACCAGGGGATTTGGCTAATTCTCAACACTCAAGAGACAGGTGAGACAGTATACAGTGCGTACTTGAAGCACTCCAGTCTAGGAAACTACCAGAATTGCAAACACTGCTGACACAACTTAGCCTTCAGCAATGAGTAGTAATGCAATGGATAACATCCCATTGTGGAGTGCCTGGAAATAAGAAAGCTGATCAACTGGCAGGGGAAGGTGCAACAAAGTGCAGCCGGATGTACCAGTCACATACCACCAGAAGAAAAGTAATTAAATTGATCAGGAAACCACCAGACCCAGCCAGAGGCGACTATTTTATTATGGACAGATTAATTATCCTCCTCCTCAGAACAGGGCACAACCACAAGGTAACTACATGTACACAAAATTCAAGATAGTTGTATTAGCAATGTGCACCTGTGGAAAGATGCCCCAGACAGCAGACATGTACTCCAGGACTGCACCGATTTGACACATTAAAGCAAATCTTTTGGTCAAACTGAATGAACTAGCAACGACAGTGAAATTTATAAAAGAGACAAAACTGCTGATATAGACAACTTATTTCAGGCCAACCAAAGAAGAAGAAGAAGATATAGTTAATAATGCCCTCAGAATTTAAACTTTTTTTTGCTTGCTGCTGAAGATGGCGATGGAGTGCTTATGGGAGTGTCCCACATGTCACGATGCCAATTCTTCAGATTAAAAGAGCTCCCCCAGTTGCCTACACAACAAAAGTGTTAAATGCAGTTATTTAGTTGAGTACCCTTCACAGGACATTGCAGAACCAACCCCAGCATTTGTTTTGGCTTTTGTGGTTTTTCTAGGCAAATTTTACATTCAGTAGTTTGCCACTGCTTCCTGAACGGTCAGCTCTCAGTACCACTGCTGAAACCAATGCAAGATAAACTGTCCGCAGCTGGGATCGAACCCGGCACCCCTGCATTACGAAGCTTATTGCAACGCCTAAACCACAGACGACAATAGTAATACAAATAGTAATAGAAAAAAAAAATGTTTTGGAATCAAACACAATCAACTAAACTGGCAGAGATTCTCTCACCTTGATAATAATTTCAATGGTGAACACTGTTGTGAAGAAGAAGTCAAAGTTGTTTAAGATAATGTTGCGATCTGATTTGCTGCGGAGAGGGTCTTCTGCTGCAAGCATGGCGCTGGAGATGAGGATGCAGGCCAAGACCACGTTGCTGAAATATGGGTGGTTGCACAACTTGTGGCACAGAATACGGAATCTGAGGGATGTAAGCAAAGCAGGATAATCGGCACGAATGTTGTATGTTGGTGTGTGTGCATTTGTGTGTGTGTGTGCATTTATGTGTAAAAGGTATAAGTGTGTAGGTGGGTGAGTGTGTGTGTGTGAGAGTGTGTATACTGTGTAAATGCTGCATCTGGGTCTGTGTGTGTGTATGGATGCGTCCATGTATGCGTCTCTGTGTGCCTGTCTATGCACTCTACGCACATACAACATGTTGGAGTAGATCTGCCTGAGAGGCAAGGAACAACAACTGCACACACATAACCAGTAAAACAAAAAGCCAGAAGTCCAAATGGACGAATAAACAGAACCTTGTGCCGGAATTCACAGTCAGTAAACACAGGGACATTTATACTTTCTTACACTGTCAATCCGCCCGACTATTAACAAGGGTTGAAACTTCATAGCTAAGGAGTCATAACATTATTGCTCTACTCCTGTGCCAGTGAAAACCATACAAAATGCAGATCACTGTCCTATGTCAATAGAGGAACAGACAGCAGTTCAGGCAAAATCCAATAGCATGCACAGGCATCAAATGCATAAGGCAACTGTCAGAGGTGCAAACATCAGCCACCTTTTAAGACATGCTTGTATATTTTCTGGGGGTTGAGGGGAAATGGATCTATCCCTCTTTCCCTCCAATGAGCTACTGAAACCCAAAGGGAGTTTGAATTTTCACACTAGATATGTTTCTTTCTGTCTTTCTTCTTCTTTTAAACATTTTTTATATATATATAACTTCTACATATTTCCTCATAATTAGCACAAAAGCCGGTCAAGAATGATCCCTTATTGTCAACCACTTTCTCTCTTTCCAGACATTTTTTCCACTTGTCACAGGTTTCAATGTTTCATGTCTTGTAATGTTGCCAAAAGTGAGGACTGTCATATGTTGATGTTTATGATCTGCTGTTATGCTATTAGTAATCTGAACAATGTTTTCATGTTCAACCCACCTGGGTTATCCAGGAATATGTAGAGATGTTTCTATTTTGATATTGGATATTTATGCTTATCAGTTACTTTTGGTTCTTTAATGTTGCATAGATTACTGCTGTAACATACTGTAGGAGACTGTTAAGTTTGATTTTTTTTAAGTATGTTGTGTAAAAAAATTTGAATAATCATATTGAACAATATATTTTTGGGAATATTCAAAGTGATATGGTTATAGCATTATTCTGTCTAACAATATATTAACACCTCGTAATGATACCTTTGCTCTTGTGATGTACTGTTCAATTCTTTCCTGTACTTTTCTAGAGCTATTTATCACCAGCATGTTCTCTGTTATACTTATCTGTGGATCTGAAGGTCATAGGTTCAGGCCCTGATGTAGCTGGATTTTTTTCATGTCACCCTGGCTCCCAGATCAACCTAGCCTGAAATGTGCACCAATTACAGTCCTGGGAAGTAAAGGCAGTCGGTGTGATATTTACCACATCACCCACTGAGTGGCAGCTATAGACATGGAGCAGAGAATGCTGTTCACACTTTACCAGCACTTAATCATCTCAGTGGCAGCTATAGACATGGAGCAGAGAATGCTGTTCACACTTTACCAGCACTTAAACATCTCAGTGATTGGTTATGGATAAGGGTTACTCACTGTCTTGAAGAGTCAGCTAGAGAAACTGGAGCGCATACAGAATGAAGCCATGCGGCTGATCCTGGGATGTGCAAGAGACAACCCGATTGTGTGCATGCGATACATCCTTGCATGCCGACTATTGCAGATAGACTAAAGGTGCTGCAGGCTAAGTCCTACCTTAGAGTAGCTGCAGGCAAAGAACGCCCTCTTTTTGAAGCTTTGGTAAGGGTCAGAGGCTGAAAAAAGGGAAATCATGGATGGCTGAAGCAGAAGACACAATAGGACAAGTATGCATGCTGAAGAACATTGGGCAAGGAGAGGAGTTGGTCAGAGTACCAGCGGAAAAGTCTGACCTGTGTAGGGTTATGATTACATTGGGCCGGGTGTGCAGAATGGCCAGCGGGTGATACAGAGGTTGAAGTCCAACAGTTGATTCACGACAATTCACACCCAGGTGATCTGATTATCTATACAGATAGTTCGGTGCTGAGAGGAAAGAGAAGTGCCTGGGGGTTCGCAGCAAAAGCCAATGGAAAAGACAGCCTAGCATATGACACCACAACATCTAGCATGATAATGGAGGTGGAGGTGGTAACTGCAGCTCTCTGGTAGCTAGAAAACAAGATGCAAACACATGTCATAATTGTAACAGACTCTGAAAGCATGCTGAGAAAGGTGAAGACAGGGATGCTTCGAGCAGTGGCAAGCTTCACTGGAAAGGTCACAGGTAGTGAGAATGCTTTGGATCTTTACTCCAAGCCATGCCAGCGTGGTGGGTAATGAACAGGCAGACAGATTGGCTAGATTTACACCACTGGGTGGTGAATTGATACATGACAAGGCAGATATGGTCAAGGCCCTTTGGGAACAAGCAACCGAATCAGTATAGAAAGAAGATTATTATGGCCTGGAGAGAATTAGGCACCTGGGTGTAACCAGAGGGTCTGGCCAGCTGACTTCACTCGGAGGAAAGGCAAGATGGACATTTAACCAGATTGTGACCGGTACCGTCAGTACTGGAACTATGCATTGGCTGCTGAAGATGAGGACAGACCATGCATGCCCCAAGTGCTGTGATGTCAATTCTTGACTCAACTCAACTCAACCCACTGACAGCTGATTGGTTTATAAAATATAAATCTAGCCCTATATGAACAAAACACCTGAAGACATGGACAATGGTTCTTTACTTATTTTTTTTTGTCCATTGTCAAAAACTTTTTTGTAGCAGGTTTATATGCTCTTTTTGGCTCTTAACCTCTCATATTTCCAAATGCTTTAAAAACTCCTCTTGCTTTTTGAATAATAATCGTTTTGGCTAAAACATGTTAAAAATAACAACTTCCTGGAGCAGAAAGAGTTCATTTACTTGTCTTGAAGTTACTGACCTGTTGGTAGGAGAGAAGATGAAAAGAGAAGAGTATGGTGGTATCGGCTTTGCTCGAGATGAGATGTTAACTTCAGACATTCTTCGGGGCCTTGCTGAGGACTGTGCTTCTTCTTCATCATCTTCCTCTTCTTCTTCTTCTTCTTCCTCATCATCTTCTCCCTCCTCATCTTCTGTACCTTCTGTGCCTTCTGTTCCTTCTTCATCCGTTTCATCGCAGTTTTCATCCTCCTCATCTGTTTATGTAATCAAAAGTAGCTTCATTATTCTTGCATGAGAAAATAAATATACATAATCTTTTACTACCGATGGAACCACCATGGTGTAGTGGCTAGATTCTTACCTGTATACCCAAAGGTCATGGGTTAAAACCCAGTTTTTTTTCTTTAAAAAAAAAAATGACCTTTGCTCCCAAGTGGATCTAGTCTCAAATGGGTCCCAGGTAAAGTTGTAGTAAGTAAAACTGGCAGGCATGATGTTGACCTCATTACCTACCAAATGCTGACTGGTCTATAAAACATAGGTCTAGCACTATATACCCAGTAGGCTTAGTCATAGAAAAGGGTCCTTTTTTTTACTAGGGAACCTACATACTTATTAACTCTTTGAGTCCCAAGAAACACATCATACGTTTATAGGTTCCTACATAGAAGCCCAATGAACGCATGATGCAACGATTTATTACTTTCTTTACTTTCCCCTGGGCCTGTGATGCTAAACCCCCTGGGACTCAAAGAGTTAAGGGACAGCTGATCTATTGATCCACCACTTCCATGGGGCCATGGAATACACCCTGGAAAGGTTACATTTTGAGAAACGCTCAAACATTTTGTGACAGCAGCAAATATTTACTTATCTCAGCACCAAGCAGTTACTACTTTTCTCCTTGTGCCCCAGAGAGTTAAGGAAATGAAAACAGACTACACCAGTGATTCCCAAACTGTGCGCCGCGGTGCCCCAGGTAGTCACAAACTATTCACAGTGGCGCCGCAAAATATTGTAAAAGCTTCATAAATATTTTAACCAAGACACGAGTAGTCATACTTTTACTTAGGTTAGGGCCGTTGAAAATATTTTATTGAAAAAAGGGGCTGTGACCGAGACAAGTTTAGGAAACACTGGACTTAACTATAGGTCAAAATAGTTCTACTGAGACCAGCTGATTTTTAACATTTGGTGGTGAATTGATCCAAGATAGGCTGGATGTTTCATCCAAGTGAAAAGCTAGGCAAATATACAGGCTCTTACTGGAACCATCAGAACTGGAACTTTGCAGCTGCTGCTGAAGATGGGAACAGAATGTTTATGGTAATGTCCTGAGTGCCTTGATGTCATTTTTTAATTAAAAATTTAACATTTAGTTCAACTAATAATCATAAATTTCTTTCTTAAATGTTTGTTGTATTCTAGACACAACGTTATTGTCCATTAAATTTGTAATTGTTGCTGTGTTTGTTATTTGACCTATACTTGGTTAATATAAATTTCTGTAACCATTGGTGTCACTTAAATAGTTTGAGATGAATTCTGTCCGTATTCCACAGTTGTAGATTTCGAGTAATACGAAAGGGTAACTAAAGCTTTCTATTTTTGTGTTGTCTACTGTGTCCTTCTATCTTTCTACTTCCTTCTATGAGTGCTAATCAATACATTGTCTATTTGTTTATCATATATAATAATAAACAACTAATAGTGCAGCTACATATGGTTAACAACATCTGTCTATGACAGAAGACAGAAAGAACATATTTCCTGTGAAAGCATCAAATGACACAAGGTCAGATGTTTGAAAGAATGTCAGCATGTGAACTAGAAATCACATCATGATATGAAAGCTTTCTAAAAAAAGCAACGAAAAACATAAGTTTTGTAGTGCCTGAGTAAAACCCTTGATTAATAAGCAGCAGTTAGCCAAACGGTTAGAATACTGGGCTCGCAGGAAGGAAATCTGGATCAAAATCAGGGTTAAGGGGATAGAGGTTTTATCTGTCAGGGT